TTTATCACTTTATCTCGTGGTACTCTCCATCCTACTCGTCCACTGAGGTATCGTCAGTAACTTCATAATCAGTGTTTTTTTTTTTTTTTTGTTATCTTACTCTGCCACCATCGCGTACACTATGTTTATGTTGTCTATCTCTTCATCTATTTCTCTTTCTTGTGTTCCTTTTCTTCAAACTTTGTCTACATCCTCTCTGTCCCGTCGATGTTATCCATCTGGCTTTCATCATTCTTCTCCCTCTTGTGCCCATTCTCCTTTCCTAACTCGCTATCCTCCATCTTTTGTCTTTCTTTTTCTCTCTCTTTCTCTCTCTCTCTCTCTCTCTCTCTTTCTCTCTCTCTCTCTCTCTTTCTCCCTCTCTCTCTCTCTCTCTTTTCTCTCTCTCTCTCTCTCTCTCTCTCTCTCTCTCTCTCTCTCTCTCTTTATTAACTCCTCTTCCTTCTTAATCTACTCAACCCATTGTACTATTTTATTCTTTTCTTCACCTTTCTTATCAGCCTTCGTGTTCTCTTTCTCTTTGTCGTCGTCTTCCTCTTTTTCCTCTTTTCCTCTCCTCTGCTTCCAATTCCTATGTTTAAATATCTTATCCCCCCCCCCCCCCTATTTTGTCTGATTATGTATTTCACAAACCCTTGTCCTGTGTCTAAAAATCCGCGTTCCTTCCTTCCACTTTCCTTGTTTATTCACTTTTTTTTTTACTGTCGCTTATGCCAGCCACCACTCTTCATTCATTCTGCTTTTTACATTCGCATCGTGTTATTTGTTGTGTGTGTGTGTGTGTGTGTGCGTGCGTGCGTGCGTGCGTGCGTGCGTGTGTGTGTGTGTGGGTGTGGGTGTGGGTGTGGGTGTGTGTGTGTGTGTGTGTGTGTGTGTGTGTGTGTGTGTGTGAAGAAACAACGCTGGCCATCGATGATAAACAGCTGAGGAAGTGGGTTAAAAACTGGACCTGTTCACGATTCCCGGCCCATCGACATACTTTTTCAGTCTGATCTAGCACAGAGGGGTGTCACGTTGTACTGCTTTCTTCAAAAAGAGTTTTTCGCTTGACTTAGGTTGAGGCTTTGGGTAGGAGGGTTTGGGTTTGGGCCAGTTCTACATGTTCTTGCGTAGTTTAAAGTTGTGTCGCCGTGTACAGAACACGCGACATCGGCGATGATGTAATTGGAGGAAAGACAATCTGACACCTCCATCCTCCCACCCCCTCTTTCCTTGAAGAAAGTATGAATGTAGATGAGCAGGAAACGTGTACAGGACCTAAAAACTTAAAAGCTTTAGTAGTAGGCACACGTTCAGGTTGCTTTAGGGGAAGGGGGAGGCGCAGACTGGAGCGGACCATATGATCTCGGTTCATTGACTTTCCCTGCATCTTGAGTTTCATACCTGATGTTTCTCTGTTTGTTTGCTCCTGACATTTCTTCAACGATTTTTTTTTTTTTTTTTTTAGTGTGCGGCCGCTAAAGTAACCAATAATTTTCAATTTGTGAAATATGACGCTGTATATGAACCAGCTTTCTTCCTTGTCAGATCTTGTATGCCCATATTGTTTCACTCTTCCTGCTCTACACCTAGCTAGGAATTCATATGCAACGTTTACAGTCAAACAACAGTAACAATCGTCAATATAAACCTCATCCTAATATGGGGCTCAATCTTTAAGTTATTTGAAAACCGCACCACGGCTGTCGTTGGTGGCTCTAATATAAACTAAATGTTGAACAGGATTTCTGGGCCCGGTGGAATATCATCCGAATGGTTGTTCCTTGCGCAGTCTTGATGTAGTTGAATATTATTCCTTAGATGGCCGAACCACTTCACTTGTTTTGTTTCTAAAGAAATATAGCGCTGGCACACACACCCCGTGCCCTCTTTTTTTCCCTTCTTTTTATATCTTCTTATCTTTCCTCTATATTCTCAGAAAGATTATCTCCTATATCAGATATTAAAATGCGAGATCTGGCTTTGGCAGCAAAGTGTTGATAAAATAATACATTATAGTTTTTTTTTTTTTTCTTAAATATTAATTTAAAAATGTGTTATGAACTCAAACATGAGAGAGAGAGAGAGAGAGAGAGAGAGAGAGAGAGAGAGAGAGAGAGAGAGAGAGAGAGAGAGGGAGAGAGAGAGAGCAGGGGGAAGAGAGAAAGATAGGGAAAGAGAGAGGGAGGGAAAGAGAGAGCAAACGAGATTATGGAGGAGAGATAGGCGGGGGGGGGGGAGTGAAAGAGAGAGAGAGAGCGACAGAGACACGATATACCCCACCTCTTAAATAGTGCATGTATAGTTATTCATAGTAATATGTGTTGAATGAGAAGTACATGTGAGTCGGTGGATGTAGGTTTATTTAACGGTAAAAGAATGTCTGTCTGAAGTGACAACTATTCGTATGAAGAAGGGCAGTTGTTTGCAGTGTAGAATAAGATTTATGTTGTTGCGTTCACGTTGGTATGCTTAGGATTGTGAACCTAATGTGTTGTATGAATATATTTAACAGGTGACATGGCAGTTTCTGTCATGGTTGTACTGGGTTGGCAAATAGGATAGATGGTAGTCGGTATTTGGCAATAGAGTAGATGGCTAGATTGTAGTCGTTATTTGGCTTATTATTTGTATAGCAATGAAGGAGATTCTAGGCGTCACTTGCTAGTTTATCGTTAAGTAGAGTAGATTCTGCTGTCAGTTGCTGAGTTTTATAGTGTGAGGACTTTCTGTTTATAACAGTGTAACATCTTTTGCATCAAGGTCATCTTGGTTGTGTAATATGACATATACGACTTTGTAATTCTGTTTCTTAATATACATGATTGTTAGTTGTTATTCTTTTATTCAATCGTTGGTTTGTTGAGTGTAGGAGTGATACTATTATTGTTAGTTGCTGTAGTCTTTACACCACACCACTTTACTATACTACTCTCTCTTTCATGCCTCCACTGACTATTACCTGATCGTTTGGGGTGTAGACTTATTACTACACTCTCCACATAGGAGAACCATTTGTCCTCTTATACATCCTTTAACTATTATTTCTTCTCATCTGTCTCTCTCTACTTTTATATCTTTTTCTCTTTATCCCCTCTTTAAAGTGTACCCTATTACATATACCCAATACGCCTGGAGGCGGGGAAACGGGTCCTTTACTTTACCCTC